ATAGCTAGTATAAAAAAATAAGGTTAATCTAAGCGTGCCAATAACGAGCGCATGAGAACGGGTGCTACTTTATCTTGCTTATTATACTGAGCGAGATGGCCAAATCACGTGGTGTTCTAAAGATCACTTCCATCTTCCCAAATTGCGACAAATCTCAACCCTGAGATTGTTCGCTTTTTTCGTAGATCCGTTTATTCAAAACATTTTATCTCTTAAATCGTGCATCCAAATCTCGAACTGTTTTCATTGTTAGATTCCTCGCGTCGAGATATTTAAACTAGATCCGTTTTGGCGAATCTTTTTTATGAAAAAAAGGGACAAAACCATACGGGAGCACGTTTTTCCCCCTTTACGAAAGCCGCTTATGAGAGGCACGGGCATGCCTCTCGCGGAAGGAAGAAAATAAAGAAAAACATGTTTTTTCCGTTTCCAAGAGGCACGTCGTGCCTCTCTCGAAAAAAAAATGAAAATACGTTTTTTTCGTTTTTGAGAGGTACCTCTCACGGAAGCAAAAAATAGTTTTTTTTTTGTTTACGAGAGGCACGCAGAAGCAAAACCAAACATGTTTTTACGCGCAAAAAAATAATTCAAAACTTTATTGTCGAAAAGCTAAGTAAGACCGGTGGAAAATCAAAAAACCAAAAAAAAAGCAAAAATCACGTGCGGAGTAATAAAGAAACAAAGTCCGAAGCGAGCGTCCAAAACGCGACATGTGGCGACGGCTGAGACCGAGCGTTCCATCTCCACAGACAGTCCAGTTTTGGGAAGGTTCCCGTATTGGTTTTCCTTTCCTTTTAGGTTTTTTTTCCTGCTTTTCACTTTTTTATTTACTTTTGCATTTTCAAATTAACCGACATCTTTTGGATTTCACAAACATATTTTTAATTTGCATATTTTTTTTATTTTACGAACCTTTTTCAACTTCACTAACATATAATATGAAATTCATGAACTTTATTTTTGAAGTTTACAAATAGTTTTTGAATTCATGAACTTTTCATTGAAATCATGAATATTTTTCAATTTTGCAAAAAAAATTGTTCAAATTAATTAACCAATTATCAAATCACAAACAATTTTTAATTTACAAACCTTTTCAATTTCGTGGACATTTTGTGAATTTCATGAACTCTTTTTAATTTGCGCACATTTTTTAAATCAGGATTCTTTTTTGAATTCGTGAACATTCTATGAATTCGCGTAATTGTTTTTGCATATATTTTTATTTCATGGACATGTGTTGAACTTGTGAACATTTTTCAGATTTCATAACATTCACTGAAATTCATGAACAAATTTTATTGTAAAAAAATAAAAAAAATTGAGTAGTAGAGAAAAAGAAACCGAGCAGGCAATGCTAGGTCCCGCACTGGGCGTGCCCACTTAGCTGCAGCGCGTTGGCTGTGTGTGAGATTGGCTCCCTGAAAGAGAGCTCCTATATGAGACCTTATGCGCCAAGTGGGGCCAGCCAGCACACACGCGGCCCACTCTCGTGGGTCGGCTCAACAGTGTGGGTGCTCGCTCGGCTAACCATGATTGTTGACCATGACCAATGACTTTTAAAAAAAATACGGGTTAGGAAAGTGCTCGCTCAATAGAAAAACCATTCTTAAATTTGAGAAAAGTTCTTGAATTTGAAAAAAAAAATGTGCATGAATTTGGGAGATCATAAATTTGCAAAAAAATTCAATAATTTTAGCAGTTCTTGAAATTGACAAAAAATGTTAATTTGAAAAAAAAATCTCGCAAATATGAAAAATCCACGGTTTAAAAAAAAATAAAAAAAGAGTCAGAAATTAGTAAATAAAAAGAAATTCCAAGGGTAGATGCTTGTGCTGCACATAATCTCCTGCAATACAAACGGTGCAACGGCACCCAACTCAATGCGAAGCCAAGAAGACCGTGTCAGCAGAACGCCGACCGGACCGCCGCCAAGGCGAAGATTGAGTAGATCGCTGAACGACGGTCTATGCAGCGACAAGATCAGCAGGCTCCACCGGTGCAAGGCAAGCTGGAGGAGGAGGCGCCTCAAGAGAAATGTCCTGGAGATGCTGACCTATACATGTTTCAGACATGTTTCTGTAGGTGGCAAACTAGCAACACAAGCATCAGTAGTCGTTTACTCACAATTCCTCCGTCTGGTGTGCAATTACTGGAGAGGGCAGTGATGGTTTCAGTCATAAGCACGACAAGTGAAGCACTCAAACTCAAACGTATTGTTTCACTTTTCTGTGATTTGAAGCCCTGCATTTGTTTCTGCCATTTGTGATCTCAAGTTCCTTCGGTTTATCGGCCCAGTTTGTTTCTGCCATTTGTGATCTCAAGTTCCTTCGGTTTATCGGCCCAGTTTGTTTCTGCCATTTGTGATCTCAAGTTCCTTCGGTTTATCGGCCCAGTTTGCAACGTCAAGTGATTTTCCTCCTCCTAAACCAAAGTGTACTGCATTAACATTGCTTCCTAAAAAGAATTACTGCAGTGTGAACATCACTTGACATGTAGAGGCCATCATCATCTGTTGGGCAACAGAAAATAGCAGCTCTGGACACGTCCACATAGAGCAAACCCTGACAAAGGCCAAGAACAGCATGAAAAGCGCCACCAATCAAGACATGGTTATTCGCAAGCCTCTTGCCTCCCAATGACCATCTTTCCTGTTGACTAGAGAGGCATCCTGCATTCTTGCTCTTCAACATAATATGGAAGCATACCAAGCAAATACTCCAGCAATGTGCACCAATAAGATCCAGATATATATGCCTTATACTATACAAAAAAATACATATGGAGAAAATATGGAAGAGATACGGGAAGGTCATGTAAATCCAAGGCATTCACATATGACATGCAGAAAATCAGCCTGTCTCAAATGACAAATTTGTTGTGCCCATGAAGGATGAACTTAGGGAAAGCACAGAGAAATGTTGTGTTCGTGATTTTGAGTGAAGGGTCTTATGTAAGAAGTACGGAAAATCAAGGAATCTGTTTGGAAATTATTATAAACCAAAACAATGGTAATGATCACTATAGCCTTGCACTCTGATCAAGCATCCTCATCTCACTGCATGGACAGCGCAATGTACTGTTATGTCCACTCACACACCAAAAAAAACTGCAGTATCACATTGGCACTTGACATGTAGGTGTAGCACAAACAAAATTATCTACTTCAATAAAAAAAATTCAGGGAGCCACTAGTTCTGGACATGCCATCAGCATCTGCTCACCAAAGATAACCCTTTTGGAGATGAATTCAGAGACTAGATCAAAGTTGGGATAGCAAACTGTAGAATTAAGACACTCTTTGCAGATGCATATATAAATTTAACAACGGCTCACATGCGTGCAAGAAATGAAAGGTTTACTACAAGATAATCCATTCACCCACTTATGCAAACAACGAGACGGGGAGACTGTCAAAGTAACAGACAAAAGCCAACACTAATATGAGAAAACATGCAGGCACCACTGCACCAAAAGAGCTACGTACCAAGTACTGACATAATTCATCACACAGCATGCCTCCAAGTTGTCATGTTTCCTATTTATGAATAGCATCCAGCATACTCAACCGTGCATTCTCAATGTGCCGCATCGCCCGGGGCCACCCTTCCGCATACTTCAGAACTGGGTATGTGTCCCAACAATCTTGTTAGATGATCCTCACTCTTCAAGTGCCGATGAATAAAGCAACACTTCCCGGAATATAAGCGGTGCCATAACCGACGTTAAAACCAACTGGTCTAGTTTAACAGGTGGCCTGTGGCCAAGATTTAACCGCTCAAAACCAAATTAGTACTTGAGACATGCATGGTCAATTCAGATTTCAGAATCACATTTCGCTTTTAAAGAAGGAGGATAAACCCCAGTCAGATTTGTAAGTCACCTGAGACCTGACAGCCCAGGCCCATGCCTACGTCACAAGCGCATGCCAGAAACCACACTATTACTCCCTCCGTTCCATAATTCTTTGAACTAAAACCACGACAAAAATTATGGAACGGAGGTACTACACGTCAAGTGGAAAAGCATGGAAAACTTACAACAGCCAAGAACAGCATGGAAAAGTAAGCACCACCAAAAACACCTACCAGCTAGTGACACAGTTAATCGCAAGCTCCATGTTGCCTCCTAGTGACCATCTTTCCTGTTGACTAGAGAATTCTGCAGCATTGTGCACAAATAAGATCAAAATATTGGATACAAAAAAAGATCAAAATATATATCCTACTGTAAAGAAACCACATCTGAAATAAAAGTGGAAGAGAGACGGGCGGGTCATGTAAATCCAAGGCATTCACATGACATGCAGAAAATCAGCCAACTTAAAATGCAATTCGTTGTGCCCGTGAAGGATAGACTTAGAGAAAGCACGGAGAAATGTGTGCTCATGATCTCGAGTAATAGCAAATCTTATGTAAGAAGAAAAATCAGTGGAGTCAGTCTGGAAATTATACTACCAAGACAATTGCATTGATCACTATAGCCTTGTTCTCTGACCACATTTTCATCTCACTACATGGACCTAACAGTTCCATGGAGCTACTGGATTAAGTGAGAACTTTATGCGGGTTTTTTAAAACAAGTGAGAGCTCTGTTAGATCCCCATGCAGTGACACAGCTCATATCATGTTACTCTGTTAGATCTCTATAAACTTACAGCTCAAGACACCAGTTTAAATCTATACTCTTCAGTAGCATCGCTCTCTAACAGAACTGCAGCAACATCACATTGGCACTTGAAATGTAGGTGTAGTGCAAACAAAATTATCTATATCGATAGAAATATCAGGGAGCCGCTAGTTCTGGACATCTACTTACGGTTCACCTACTTACGCAAACGACGACACGGTGAAACTGTCAAACTAACAGACAAAAGCCAACACTAATATGAGAAAACATGCAGGCACCACTGCACCCAAAGTCTACTAAGTAGTATGCCTCCAAGTTGTCATGTTTCTTATTGATGAGTAGTAGCATCCTGCATACTCAACCGCGCATTCTCAACGTGACGCATCACCAGGGATCATCCTTTCTGCAAACACAGTTTTATCCATGTGATTCAACAGAGGATATGACATGATACTATATCACATAAATTGCCAATTAAGAAAGCATAAAAATTGTAACCTTCAATTATTACATTGGAATTGAAATTTGTTGGAGCAAATTTCAAACACAATTTTCAATCAGATTAGGCATCGATGTTTTGCTGACTTCACTAACTGATAAATAGTTACCTAGCTAAGAGTTGTTCATGAATCATAAAAGAAGAAAGACATGTAGATATACCTGGAGGATTGTAGAAGCTCATGTACGGAATCAAACAATGGAAGTTGCGCCCCTTCATTCGCTCCTTCCACTCTAGTGTCTTGAGATCAATCTCGTAGACGGAATGACCCGTGTTCACGAAAATGATATCACTGCCCTCCACAGATCCGATCAGACTAGGTATTCTCTTGGGATTTTTAATAGGGATATTGTTCTTGAGATCCACAACTCTACCATGAGTCCATGACGCAACTCCGTTGGAATCTATTTGTCTGGACCACACGTAGAGGGTTAACCTGCTGTCCACATGTGCAATCCCCAGACTGCCATCCTTCATCGCCATGAGGATATCGGCACGAGCGGCAAACGGCACATCAATCAATGATAAAGAATCAGAGGCCAAGCTGTACTTGAGAATTCCCACACGATTATCATCGTAGTACCCAAGTATGAAGTGGAGTGCGTCGTGGAGGAGGACAGCGGGTATATCATAGATGAATGCATCCGCTGCAACATCAAGACCAGGGCACTGCTCCTTCCACTCATCAGAGTCACCCATGTCCGGCGACGACACGCATACGCGTGCAACATGCTCACCATCTACACTATCGTCCACGGCGACGCAGACCAGCTTGAACGGGCCGGCGTGACACGAGCGGTGGTCGCAGCCGCTCACCGCGCAGAGCACCGCGATCTTGCCGATATCGTCCGGCCCATCCAGCTGCCGAGTGCAGCCCGTCATGGGGTCCCAAACCACGAGCAGCCTAGAAGACAAATCCGCATCCCCGAGGAGAACCCGGCCATGGCGGCAGTCCCACACAACCAAATCAAAGTCCTGGTCCGTACTGGCGAAGTCCGGAATGCGCGCGCGGAACTTGGAGGTGGAGACGAGGAGTGGGGCGGGGTCTCCCTCGTGGCCGGAGACGTCGAACCCCGAGTAGAGGAAGCCCAGCATCGGGGGAGCGCCGTGGAACTCGCGGTAGCGGCCGCGGAAGGCGGTGCCGGTGAGGAGGGCGAGCCAGGGCTTGCTGGCGAGGGAGGCCCGCACGAGCGCCGCGGGCTCGTCCGGCGGGAGGCGGAGGAAGATCTCCTCCAGGAGCTCGTCCGGCAGCTGCGGCATGGTCGGCCGGCCGGTCGGTGGAAGCGAGGGAGGGTTTCGGGAGGGGAATAGCTTGGACCGGTGGGCGGCGACGAAGGGGATTGAGACGCGGCCGGTGTGGACTCAGCTGCCGGCTGGAAACGCGGCCGGCGGGGAAGAGAGAGGGCGCAGCCGGGGAGGTGGGCGTAGGGAGAAGGGGATCGGGGGGAGGAGGTAGATGGGGGCGGCGGCTGGAGATGTTTTTTTTAGGGTGGCTGGAGAAGAAAGTGAGACACGGCTGGAGCAACGTTTGGGCCAAGCGTGGGCTACATTTAGGCCGAGTGTAGGCCAGTAAAAACTAGAGTGAGGCCTGCCACTGGTCAATATTTTAGGTTTATATATTGTGTCTTCTTAGTATCTTTTTGTTAAGAATTATGGTCCAATGTTTCCTTAGGTTTGAATATGATGGTGCACTATGTGAAATTGCATGTACAATTTTAGCACTCTTTAGCTTAAATTTTCTATTTTTATAGCGCACTAAAGGAATATCTAGGTATTTAATGGAGGTAATTTGTTTTTTTATTTTCTAACAGGTGTAAATGAATCGTAACAAATACAATGAAACTTGGCATGGTGTCACGGTACGGCCCCTAAAAGGTGTGGTGAATTTTGAGAGAGTTATGAAAACATTGTGATGTACTTCACTTACTGTCAGGACCCCGACTCGATGTCACATCGATCTAGCCGGTAACACCTCATATCACTTTGCGGCCTCACGCACGGTATCCCCACGGGTGTCGTCTTACCTTTTCCCGGGACCGTTTGCGCCTTTTGGCTCACGTATATGATAGTGTCGCTAGCATCCATATGATAAGGAGTCCGGGCTGACATGACTAGTCGTAAACCCAGAGTGGCACGGAATTACAGGGACAGGCATCCATGACCCAGCTTCGAACGTGTCGGTCATCAGCAAGTGGGTCCGGGCTGTAGCACTGGGCTAGCAGGACTCCGGTAAACCGGGCTGTAGCGGGCTAACAGGACTCCGGTACTCAAAGCGTGACATTTCCCCGAAGGGACAGACACAGGAACGAAGAAGGACACATGCCGGCCAGCCTAAGTGTTCCAGAGCAGTAGCAAGCTACCATGGCTCAGCGGTAACACTAGGAGACATTTCCCGGTAAGAGAGGCTACTAAAGATAAACAACTAGATAGTCAGATCCCACACATACCAAGCATTTCAATCATACACACAATATGCTCGATATGTGCAAATACAACGAAGCATCACAACATGACTCTATGACACAAGTATTTTATTTAAGGCTCAGGGAGCCATACATAACATACACAAAGGTACGGGTCTCACGACCCCACATACAAGTCATACAGTCATACAAACCAGCAGCGGAAGTAACTTGTCTGAGTACAGACAATTAGTAAAATAAAAGAGGCTTGGAAAGCCTAACTATACTACGTGGTCCTCCACAAGCTCAGGGTCACCACCTGGGTCTTTAGCCTACTCGTTGATGTCAACGTCTACATAGAACCCATCAGAAGGGGTTGCAGCGTCTTCTGTAAAAATGTAGATTATAGCAACATGAGTACAAAGGTACTCAGCAAGACTTACATCAGATCCTACATACATGCATAGTATCAAGAAGGGTTGGTGGAGTTATTGCAGCAAGCCAGCTTTGACTCTTGGCTAGGCTATCCTACGATACTCCAACTGAAATGGTTTTGCGCACACGAGTCCACTACTCACCACTTCAATACACTACCGAGGATCCACCTCCGTCTTCCTACGGAAGAGCCATCCTCGGCACTCACACTTATCTTGAGGCTTTTAACAGTTTCCATTTACTTGTCTATGAACTGTATAGGCAACCAAGTAGTCCTTTACCGCGGACGCGGCTATTCGAATAGATCATGTTAACCCTGCAGGGGTGTACCTCTTCATACATGTTTCCACCACTTAGCGTCTGCACACGACATGTGCTCGGCAGACTTCAAGCGAAAGCCGACGTGGGTGTAGACCACGACCTACCTAAACACTTAAGCCTCTAGTCCAGGTTTATCGCCTATTCAGGTTCCATCCGCAGGGAGTCCGGCCGAGGTTTCCCATACGGCCCCGAACGATGTGAACAGGGTTCCCGAGATACCTAACGGGTATTCGGTACACCGTGCCACGTACCTACCGCATCACAGCCCACCCCTATGGTCAGCACTGTCCACGGCCTCCAGTAGGCTACAAACACCAGAAACTACTTGCAACTCCTGGACAGAGAGCTAGGGTGAATAAGAAGTCGAGCGGGGTCATATTTCAGGGCCCAATGCATGGTAGTAGCTGATTCTTAAATCACACATACAGATCTCAGTGCTTAAGGTCGGCTTCAATGAAACAACCCACCATGTACTCCTACATGGCCTCTCATCGATACCTTTACCAAATCGTGTTCACCACACCACTCTCATTACCGACATAATCATTTCACTCTAGCCCATCACCCAGATGAACCAGACCTGACACGACTCTAAGCGTAGCAGGCATAGCAAGGTAGGAACAACACATACATAGGGCTCAATCAACTCCTACACATGCTAGTGGGTTTCATCTAGTTACTGTGGCAATGACAGGTCATGCAGAGGAAATGGGTTCAACTACCGTAGCACACAGCAGTTTGAATCGCGTTGTCTTAATGCAGTAAAAGAGAGCAGGAGCGAGAACATGGGATTGTATCGATATGATCAAATGGTTGGTTGCTTGCCTGATGGTTCGATGCACTGATATGGTTCTTCGTTAGGGTAATCACGGTACTCCTCGGTGGCAGAACCTGTCGCAAAGGACATCGATACACAAGCATCACCAAACAATGTGCAACAATATGATGCATGCATGAATCATGGCAATATGAGTGTGTTGGGCTAATGCAACTAGAACCAGAGGGGTTTGAACAAATTTGAATCAAGGATTCAAATTTCAAATTCAAATATGGTCTTTTAAAGTGCTTTTCCTTGTTCTGCTTAAAACATCAATTTAACTTGTTTGATCATGCATGAAAATAGTACAGATGGATAGATTGGATTTTTCTGATCATTTTTCATATATAATTTGTCCAATTTGGAGTTACAGAATAAAAGTTATGAATTTTTGAAGTTTAAATAATATTCTGGAATTTCCTGATTTAATTTAAATCCAGAAAATCAATTACTGCGTCAGCCTGACATCAGTGTGACGTCAGCAGGTCAACGGAACAGGTCTGGGTCAAACCTGACAGTGGGTCCCGCATGTCAGGGTGATTAATTTAATTAAGATTTAATTAAAACTAATCCTGTATAATTAGCAGGGCTGGACCCCACCTGTCATTGACTCAGGAGAGTCAACCAGGGCCCACCCGTGGTCAAAGTCAAAGTCGGCTGCCGGCGTTTAGCCGCCGGCGAGCCCGACGCGGCGGCGGGAGTGGTTTTGGCCATTTCGGCCACCAAATGGACCGTGGAGACCACCGGAGTGGAGCTGAGGACAAACCGCAGCTCTTGGCGGAGTCCGTTGGGGTCGGGGTGGCCGGAGTTGGCGCCGGCGACGACTTTGGCGGCCACCGGGGTTCGGTCGAGGATGAACTTGGCGCTAGAGGGGTCGGTGAGGCTCGTGGAGTGGCTAGCTAGGTGTTGTGGGACTCGGTGAGCAAGATGGACACCATCTTGTGGCCGGAGTGTGGCCGGAGGCACGTCGGCGACGAGGTCCGCGACGGCGCGGGCGTGTGATCCTCGTGCGGTGGCTACACGGCTCGGGAATGAGAGAGAGAGGGTCGGAGGAGTAGCTAGGCTCACAGCGCTCCCGTAGAGGCCACCGGCGGGGTCGGGGACGAGCTGAGGCAGCGACGGCGTTGAAAGGGATCTCCGGCGACGGCGAGCTCGGGCGAGGTCGGTGCGGTGGTCTCGGGCCGCTCGAGCACACGGGGCTCGGCTAGCTCGATGAAGTGGACGGCGGCGAAGCTCCTGGACACGGTGGCACGGCGTGGGGTGGACGGAGGGCGTGGCTACGGCGAGGGGGTGGCGGCGATGGCGTCGGCCATGGCTGGGGCGTGCGAGGGGGAGGAGCTGGAGAGGAGAGGGGGTGTCTGGGGGGTTCGGGGGAGAGAGGGAGGCCGGTTCACGGCGTTAGCCGGGCGAGGGAGGCGGCGAGGCGGCGAGCAGCTGCGTGGCGAGCTGCGGTGCCGCCGCCGAGCACCTTGGCTGCCTGCCTGGCAAGCCAAGCAGCTCGCTGGAGCGGTGGCCGGGCTGGGCCGGCCAGGTGGGCTGGCTGGTGGGCGACAGGTAAGTTTCCCCCTTTTTTCTGTTTCTGTTTTTTATTTAATATATCTGCAACTTTGTTGAATTTGATAAAATACCTAGGCAACTTCAAAAATCACCAAACTATTCCTGGCCCATAGTTGGATTATTTCCAACATGAAACATTTTAGTTTGGAGATATTTGAGCATTTAAATATTTTATATTATTTTAAATGCCCAAATCCAAATATTTATGATTTAATTCAAAAACCCTAGGATGGCCTAGGAAAATGTGCACCACTTTTGGCAGAGGTTCTGAACCAAGGCAAAAATGATGGGCATTTTAGAAGGGCATTTCAGGTTCATTGAAAAATTATTTTAGTAACCCTAGTTGGTTTCAGAGGGGACTGGGGGTTCTGTCATCCCCATTTCAAGTTTCTGATGAAAGAGTAAACATGATGCAACACTCTAATGCATGACTAGCTAGGGTGTGACACTTACAAACCGAAGCATCTCTCAGAAAGAATCAGAGTTTAAAAGGGCAATTGTGAGGTTTGAAAGCAAACTCACTTACAAATTTGGAATTATCCCAAGTTCGTTTGCCTCAAAATTCAAATATCATTACCTCCCTTAAATACCTCGAAATTCATTTAATGGCCCCAAATAACAAAGTAACCATACAAAGTGTCAAACTTCTACATGAAACTCCCAATTGTTTATCTTTAATGTACACGAAATTGGACCATAACCCTAAACACAAAACACTAACAGTGATT